AATGGTTAGATCTCAGCTTAAGCAGGAATCCTGGATGCACAGATAACAAGTTAATTACTATCAATCAGCCCCTGCTGCTCAAAGGATGCAGCTTCCAGCAAGGAACAAACACAGATCACAAAAGACCTTGATCAATGGAGAGTCAAGTGGAGGATGCAACTGCTCAGTTCCAAGCTTTGGAATACGATTGAGACAGAAAGACAAAACAAAAGAACAAAGGTCAAAAGTAAGCACTCCTCCTGTAAGCTTATGACACTGACAGAGCTCTGCAAGATAAGGAGGTTTATAGAAGGACTTGGGTGACACCAGAGGCATTGCAGGAAAGCAGCAAGGAAGAGGAAAATTACTGTATGATCTTGGGAGGTCTTTTCCAACCTTAATGAGTCTCTAAGAGGAAAAAGAATATTCACCTTAAACAACCACAAATACCAATTGGTAGAGAAAAGACTGAAAAGTGGGTTTTTAGAGGTCACACACTAAAAGTGCTCATGCTCACCCACTTAAATAATTCCTGTATCTACTTAGAAATAATTTAACATTTCTGGATATCTCATTTCCCATAAGTCTAAAGATCCCTCCTCAAGTCTTCTGCCTGACCACAGTAAAGCTGCCACAACTCGTTCAAACAAGCCCTGGAACAGGTCTAAGCAGACTTAAGACACTGACATAAAACCTCCACTGCAGGTCTATGATCCACTTTAGAAGGCAGAACAATGAGATAAATTCTGTAGACAGAGGCTTTGTCTATCCAATCCAGGTAATTAATCCACCCAGGACTGCAGGAGTAGCTTTGCATATGTTTTGAAAACACTCTGTGAAAAACACTTAACTCCTGCAAAGTCAATGTGTTTCCCAAATATGATGGTCTGCCCTAGCAAGGCATGAAAAAAAGCAGACAACAAACCAACAACACAACAGATCAGAACAATATCCAATGGGAACACTGCTGAAAAGGCCACAGCCTCTGCCACTAACTTGCAAACAGTCTGAACATGGATGAAGAATGCCAATGTTTTGTCAAGCAAATTTGTCTTTGGAATAAAAAAAATTAGTTTCTGTATTCCACCTGAAGTTAGGATATTCAATTTAATTCAGCCACTTGGTAATTAATCAAGATCAATTAATTGGTAATTAATGAAAAGCCTCACAACGAAACAGGAAAGCTTGACTGACTCTCCAGTAAAGAGATCTGTTAAGTACAGACAGAAAAATGTTACTACTTAAATCCTAAGCAGTGTGGTGGGACTTGGCATAAGAGGGAGTTAAACTGTGTTCAAGAAGTCAGTATATAGTGGTGTATCAATGTGCTCACAGGGCTCAAGTATCACGAGCTCAAAGGACAGCATTTCACTTTGTCTAGACTCAAGACACTTGTCTAGAATGGCTGTACTGGGGCAGAGTAGAAAAATATTTAACTTAGTATTTAGTGTTCAGCACAAACAGCAGCAGAAGTGACCAGAAAATTTAGGCTGAAATGGATCCCCAGGAGTTGTCTAGTCCAAACTACCTCCAGGCCTCTCAGGCACCTAGGAAAGAGTATTAAGGTCAAGTACATGGTCATTTCACTCAGCCTGCAACATTTTGAAGCTCAGAGGCTTCCCACAACTGAAGCAGTATCTGCAATTTGCCCTTCCTTCTGCCTCCTCTGCTGGCCAGTATTAGGGGCTGAATCTGCAACTCTAACAAATACTGTATCTACCTCCTAGACAGAAAATAGTTTTGGCAAGGCTTCCACTTCCCAACCAGTATCCAGCCTATGCTCCAGTCCATAAAAGAAACTGTACACCTTCAGCTCCATTTCTCTAATTCTTCCATTGTGGTTAAAGAGCTTCCAAGCAGGGTGTCACACCCTCTGAGAATAAGACATTTTTAAAGCTTGTTCTCATACATACTATAGCCAACTGACTTGAGACATTTTTGTGCAAAGACTGAAGAGGCAGCTTTGGTGTGCATGGGACAGCACTAACACATCCTTCCTCCTTTGACCTTCATCCACACTGCATACTCCTGTTTCCCAGGCTAATAATGGATATAGAAGCAATTCAGTAGTTAAGACTAATAAACCAGTTGACCAGACTTTACAGACATTATCTCAGAGAGTGGGAAGGGCAGAAGATCTAGTAACAGAGCGATTGTGTCCTGCTGTGCACAGGGCACAGCAGCCAGTCACAACACAGACACTTTGCAACTACACATAGTGGAAAATGTTGTGAGGATAATAACAACCTGGAAAGAAACACAGCGTGTGCTTGGCTCAGTTCAACTGTTTTGTTCACACAGGATCAGGTCTTTCCTTATGGAATCAGTATATGCTCCCACATCAACCTCAGAGCTACAGACAGAGACCAACATCCTGCAATGCAATCATCTTTGGTAATGTCAGACAACAGGAGTTTAATTCAGGTCGCTGCTCTACTCCATAAAGGGATTTACTACCCATTAAGTTAAACTCACCTACCTTTACTCTACTTTTTTTCCTTCTAAAACAAGGCTCTCCCAAAAGCTTTTTACACAAAGAGCACCTGTGCTTCCAAAGAGGAATCTTCAACTGCTGCATAGTTAGGCACAGGAACTATCCCAAACAGGGCTGTTCCCATTGTAGAGCTGTAACACTTCATGAACTGCACTCACCTTTTTGTACTCCTGAAGTTAACTTGGTACCCAGGTATGGCTGGAGGCCTGTGAGGTGCTGGGATAGCTGGGAGTAGAGAGAATGGGTTCAAAATTAAAGTCCAGTCCTTCTCCATCCATGAGTTCACTGTTGATTATGTAATCCATATCACATTCAAGGTTCTCCATGTACATATCAACGTCCAGGTCGATGGGTAGCCTGTCCTGGTTGAATCCCAGGGGAGCAGGGCTAGCAGAAGAAAGAAGCAATGGACTGCCCAGTACCTGTTGGGCAGCTGTTGAAGAAACTGGAGCTTTCAAACTGGTAATGCTGGCAGTGTTTTGAGGAGATGTTACTATGGGAAGCGTTGATGGCAAAACACTGGCACCAACTGATTCTGACTGCTGCTCTGCAGGCTTTCCTCGTGGATTGCCTGAGCTCATCTTACTCTGGGTGGCTTGTCCACCTAGAAGAAGAAGAGTTTGGCTGCTCATCCTGTTACCAGTCTGCGGAAGAACTGGATCCACCTGAGTCATCATAACATCCCTTGGAGGTGGAGAGTTGGGTGTCAGAAGGGCTTCCAAGGTCGAAGGGCCAGAGAAATGGCTGACAGAACTTTGCAGTGAGATTTCAACAGGGTTAAACAAGGAATTGCCAAAAGTAGCAGTGTGACCAGCTGCATTTGAGCTCCGCAAGGAAAAGCTGGAATCTCTCTGGATCTGACCACTCGAGGCAGATTGCTGGGTAGATAACACAGATGAGCTGGGGGACATCAAATTTAACCCATCGATGAGCTCAAGCTCCTCAGTCACAGTTGGTGGAACGTTGCTGGATGCACTGGAGTACACTAGAGAAGGAAGCAACTCTTCATCATGGAGGTCATCCTGCTCTGTCAGGATAGGAGACAGCCTTGCACTGATGGTGCTTGCATTGGAGCTGGTTCGAGGCCGGAAGGTGTTCCACACATCAGAGTCCTCATTGCTTCTTGAGGATGGGCTCCCAGGCCACTTAGGGAACTGGGAGCCAGGACTGTCAGCAGTGGATTCTGGAGCAGACTGGAGAGGAGGCTTCTTCTTGGATGCTTTACCTCTGACTTTTGCAAGTTTGCTGCTGTTGTCCATGGAGGCAGCTCTTCTTCTTGGTGCTTTTCCACTTTTACCACCCTCAGGATTGAGCATCCACCAAGAGCTCTTTCCTGTGGCTTCATTATGGACTTTAATGAACTTGCTGTGCAGGGACAGGTTGTGTCTAATAGAGTTCTGGAAAAATAAATAGAAGACATGAGGATCCGACAGTTGACTGACCTCCCACCTAGAAACCTCACAAGCATAAATGCACTCAGGCAGTATCCAAAGAGGGTTAAAACAAAGATCTACCCCTAAAAACGTGGTATTTCTGCTGGAACACACTTGACAGCACTAACTCTCAGTGCAGCACTGGGGCAGTACTGAGACAACTAGCAGCTTCCAGCTAGCAAAATACTAACACAAAAGAACTTTTCAAGACCATACAGAATCTGGAAAAGCTAAGCACACCACAGAGCAAATAAGCAAATTCCCAAATACAGCTTGCAGCTTCAACAGGATAATTTAATTTGAGCTAATGCTGCTCCCACTCTTCTGCCAACCCCATGAGCCAGCATAAACCTGGCTGAAGGATTTGTTTTTTATACTGCAGCTTTCAGATGGATTTGAGCACAGAATGGCAGGAAATCAAATAGCCTGGGTGAAGAGAAACAGCAAAAGACTTCTAACTCACTAGGCCCACTACCATCTTAATCCCAAAGCCAGAGAAAGAAGAGGGAGACTTTGTTGAAAGAGTGTCCTAGTAATCCTGGAGCCTGTCAGCTTCACTCTGCAGGGAAGCACTATGCTTTCCTCTGTGTTTGTTCCTAGTTGGTAAGACACTCAGTAGACAGTGCACTCCCACACAGTACATGCCAGTTTTAGCCTCTCACATCTTTTTATTTGGCAAGGCACACATTCCTTGCCTGTCTCAATCCCCTTCTTTTGGTTTAGCTTTGCTGAAAACTATGAGCTAACTTATCTGCACACCATCATCAAACTGTATTTTCATCCTGCAGCTGATAAACTCCCCAGTATTTTAGAATCAGCAAGCAATAACCTCATGGTTTGAGCAGATCCTCCATACATTCCCCTTGAGGGCTGTGCTGTGCATGTGGTTGATATTAGTATTTAACTTATTCAGATGGTCAAATTACACATCGCTAAAAGGTGCTACACTGGCAGCATAACAGCAGTCCAAGAGCAGTATCTTCCTTATACAAATTAAGAGGCACATAGCAGACTGCAGCTTTCATGTATGCTCTCTTAATTCTGAATCAAGTTAACTGTGCTTTTGTCATCCTTTCCCATCACCTCTAAACACAGTTCTTTCCTGCCTGCTGCTTTCCCTTTCCCCACCCTTTTCCTCTCCAGTAAGTCCTCATCAGGCTAATTTTGGCCACCTCACCAGAAGTGCTATCCTAGAACGAAGCAGATGTAGATAATACAAAGTGGAAAGTTTTCATGTAAAGGGAAGGAGATGTTGCAATCATTTTGCATTAGCTTTCATTTTAACCTTTGGCTACTGAGGAGTTGGAGAAGACTGGCTGCTTGTTGTGATCGGTATCAAAGAATACATGTGTTCTTACATGGAGAATGCTCCAGGGCTACTGCAAAGACAGGGCCTGATGGAACATGTGTCAGTCAATGTTCTTACACAGTTCAATTATTTGAGTAATTCTCAAATTACTCAAATTTGAGTAACAGCTCTACAACATTCCTGCCTGGCATCTTCTCTAAATAAAGCTTTCTCTTTCTTCAAGTCTCCAAAAAGTAATTCAGACTTACCCTGTCTTGTGGAAGGCTGCTGCTTTCATTTCCAAAGAATCCCCTCCTTTTCCCAGGTAAATGTGCTGCTGCAGCAGTAAGAACCACTAGCTTGTCACTAATTGTTAATTTATTCTCCTGAACGTAACCTGTGAGCTCACTGTAACACCCAGTCCCATAAATGGGGCTACTGGGAATGACCCAGTAGCTTGTACACACAGCATGCATTTGGAGTCTCATAACCACCTGGTTATTAGCTCCATTTATGAAAATGGAAATTTCAACAAGAGGTTTAGAATTTCAAAATTTCACAGCTAGCTGTATTCTGTTTTATTCTCATGCATGGCTATGGCCAGGTTTTAATTCCTGTGTCAGCAAAAGCACACTGAACTGGTGCAGGCATTTCAGTAACAGAAACCTAAACAAAATTAGCACCACTGCAGGTATCATAAGTGACAATTTTAGCAACTAATTTTCTTGGGTTTTGGCTGAAAAGCAGCTTGAAACAAGATAACTTGGAGTAACACCAGGATGCACATGAACACAGATATGCAAATCCTGGTACCTTTTATGAAACAGTCTCAAAGTGTTTTTACATGTTACTGCTAAACTACCATAATTCCTAATAGCTGTAAAAAGAGGTAATTGCTGTATCACTCCTTCTTTCCTCATGTTCAAACTCTTCTCCTGTAACACAAGCATCTGTGACCCTACCAGCTTGTTCAGAGAGCTAACCCAATTGAAAAGCAGCCCTATCCTTCCTTGAGAATTACTCTTCCTGTCTCTTCTCTCTGCCTGTTTTTTGAACTACCCCACTGTGGGAGTCAAGCACCAAAAATTAAGGAAGAGAACAGAATGTGTGGCTGGAGGCAGGGATAAAACAAGAACAACTTCTTACCTTGGAGCTGACTGCTGTCAAAACTGCAATGCCTAAACTATCACTGTTGTACCTCTCCTGCAGACTTGGTGAGGCAGCTCATCACGACAGCACCCAGAGCTGTCACACACCTGCCTGAGCTCACTTGTGTCCTGGAGACTCAAGTCCAGAGAGTCCCAAAATATAAGTAAACCAACACACCTGCCAGCTTGATGCTGTCAGACAGCCCAAAGGATTCACACTTGCACACTACACGCTGCCCAGCACAAGAATGCACCTGCTGGAATGATTCTGCACACCTACCACATGGAGGGCACCCTCATTGAGAAAGTGAGGGGCAGACCCATTATGCTAAAATAATCACAGAACTCCAGGTCAAACTTGACAGGAGAGGAAATGACAGAGTTCAGTCACCCAGGCAACCCCGACTTACTTCCTTTCTCAACGTTAAGCAACTCAAACCAGGAACATATAGATGACATCAACTTTTTAATGCTCAGCTTTGGCAGTGCAAGAGGATCCCAGTTGGTCTGAACACCTACAACCCACGCAAGGTCTTGGCTCTCCAACCACTTTGACTGTAAGGAAACCTGACCTGAAAAGGCACAGGCAGGAATCATTCAAATCCTTAGGGTCCTTTTCAGCAACTAGTTAGAAGTGGTTATTGATGTTTATTGAGGTATCTTCTAGAGTTTCTTGTGGCTGGTAAGAACTGCACTGAAAAAAATGCCAGTCTATGTCTCTAATCCATCACAGATCAAAGGTGACTACTGCAGACCACATTCAGACAACAGCATTCTGAAATGAAGGGCATATTATGCAAAAAGCAGTTTTTTTGCCAGAGACATGTTGTACACTGAAGGGTGAACCATTCACCAAGTCTCAACCACCTACAAGACAGGATGTAGGGACCAGCCACAGAAGTGGGGCTAGCAACATACACAAACTATTTCCGAATTCTCAGCTACCACATCATTAAATATTCTTCTTTGATAAAATCTCCTAGCCCTATTCAAAGGACAGGAACAATCCTTGCCATCGTACCAGGCCTGCCCCAACACCAGTGTCAGTGCTGTTGTGGACCCTGCCCAGCACAGAACAGTGCTTCAGTCTCAGAGTGGGGAATTAGCCACAGGAGTTGGCAGCACAACCAAGCAATTATCCTGCCCAGTCAGCCTTCTGGAAAACTGCCACAGACTCCGAGATACTATGGAAAATGCACAAGTGGGTCATACAGAAGACAAAATGCCAGTGACAGCCTTTCCAGAGGACTATACAGCTTTGCAGGTATGGCCAAGGTTATCTATCATAAAACTGCACTTTTACTCTGAGCAGTTGAGAACATTCAGAATGGTTTGTTCAGACTTTAAGGTTCCTCACACTAAAACAAGTTTAAACTTACTCTCCTGTGATGCACTTTCTTCTATGCACTGGAGCAGGAAGGTCCTGTGCCCTGCCCAAAGGATCTTGTCCATGTAGCAGGAGCACAAGCTGTGCTAGCAGAGAGCTCAGGGGCAAGTACAAACTATGCTAAGACATACACAAATTGAAAATGTTGTGCTTGCCCATATTTGCCTGGATTTTCAATCACTGCTCCCTTTCACCAGGGCCACTCTCCTGACAAACATCAGGTTTCTATTGCAAACCACAGAGGAACCAGATTTCTTAACAAAAAGGCTCCCTTAAGAATGAGTAACAGTTAAAAAAACAACCAAGGTATCACTGCAGCTGCCTGTAATACACTCTCACTGCCTCAGAGGCATATAAAGAACATGGTCACATCCTAGTGCAGGGCCATCTTCCAAAGCCAGGCCTATAACTGTGCTGAATTCTCATTTGCCATGGCATTCCTGGGACGCTGCAATGGGAGCATACCTTGCCTGTTGTGTGTCGGTGCCTGCCTCAGCATGCACCTGGCCACTTGGCTCCAAAGGCTCCAGGAAATGGTCTTTGTTGCAGACATTTTGCAAAGTTACTTTCGAGCAAGTAAGCAACTGCTCCAGAGCCAGGGAATGAAAACATTTCCCCAGCAATCCCTTCCCAGAAGGAACACTTGAGCACAGACATCAATCCTGGCAGATGGGGGAACTGTATCTTAGGAAGAACACTTTCCTTTCCTGTAATCTTTCAATGGGAGCCCAGAAGAAGAAAATCCCAGCTCTCTAAAAAGTAAAGACTGAGGTGATTTACAAGTTTACCAAGACAGGCAGGCATATACCAGAAAAGCTGTTCAGGATTATACAGAGCAGAAAAAACTTGTTGGAACAAGTAATACCAGCAGCCCAGGAACAGCCTTCTATGAGGACTGCCTGGAAAATTAAGCCATGCTGCAAGGAACAATCTTTCATCAAAGCAGCTTTCCAGAACAAACTGACAGGGAGTAAGAAAGAGTAGCAGTAAAATTTTCAGGTAATTTGACTGGCATTGCAAGGGGCAGATGGACTTTTGCCAACAGACAAGCTCTCCTCCCCTTTCAAGGGGGGCAACTACACTCTATAAGGCTTCAAAAGAAAAAAAATAAATCTCACACTTCATATCTATTCAGGGTGTTACAGCTTGTTTGGTAGAAGGGGCTGACACTGGAAGTCAGGGAAGTCACTTTACCATCATGAACTGAAGTGCATGTTATATGCAAGGAAGCACCTGAGAGCCCTCAGTCAGGTCTCCCAATCCACCTGGTCAACAGCTCACATCAAATACAGGCCACTGGCATGTAACACAAGCATGAAATGGAAGGGCTTCAAGTAAAATGCTGCCCATTGTAATAAACATTAAAAGCTAGTTGAGTTTCCAGATGGATGACACCTTCTGTTTCAGACAAGCAGAATGCTTGGTAATTTTAAATTCATAATACATAATAATGGAGTTGTTGCACATAGGTATCTGCACATACATGTACACATTTGAATAGAAGTAAATGTGAACTACCAGAATGCAGAGGTGTAATCAGCCTCCTATAACTAATGCAATATTATACAAACATTTGTTTCTTCCTCTGGCACACACAAGAAACGTCTAATTTTGCTTCCGTGAAGTATCTTTGGAGGGTAAAAAGGTTTTAAAGT